TAAGCGTAAAACTGCCACCGAATTTTCACCCCTAAATACTTGTTCGAATATCCCGAAGACTTCTCTAGTGTTTTTTAATATTTGTTCGACACCTATTTAATACGTGGTCATTGTGTGTAATATTTGTTGGTCTCAAATATGAGAATACTAGTTCGACACTTTTGAATATTTGTTCAATGCTTTTGAATACTTTTTCGACGCTTTTGAATACCTGTTTGATGCCTATATCGTGCGTTGAACGAGTACTCACAGGCGTTGAAGAAGTATTCAAAGGCCTCTAATAATTATTCCAACGGGTCGAACCAGTATTCAAAAACTTCCAACAAGTATTCTCATATATGAGACCAACAAATATTTTCACACAAATGAATATGTATTCATAGGCTTCGAACAAATATTCTATAACGTAGGAGAAGTATTCAAAGGCGTCGAACAAATATTCATAAGTGTCAAACTAGTATTCCTATATCCGCGACCAACAAATGTTCGTACAAATAAACATGCATTCATAGGAGTCTAACAAATATTCAAAAGCGCCGAACTAGTATTCTAGTATATGAGACCAACAAATATTCCACACAAATGAACACGTATTAATACGCGTCAATGATTATCAACGTTGCCAACAAATATTCCACTTTCAAGTACATTGCAAACTAGCTTTGCTTGGATTTATTTTTGTTTGATGACTTCTCCTAATAAAACCCCAAACACTTGGCAATCTCAGTAGCTGCTTCATATGCTTGCAAATTTGTATTGCATTTCACGCCATCGATGACTACCAATATCCTGCAAGCCATTGACAATCTCAGTAGCTGCTTCATCTATATGCTTGCAAATCCATAGTGTATTTCACGCCATCAATGACTAACAATATCCTACTATATTACAAGAATTTATAAGTGATACCCCACAACTAAAAAAAACTTAACATTCTCTACATATTCAATTTAACCAGTACTCTATGATAAATTTAAACTACATTTAATGTAACAATCACCATAATTTCACATGCAAAATCTATTATTTACAAGGCAAAATCTATTCTTAATTTCTTATGCAAAATCCTTCAACTCCATAAATAATTATGCAAATAAATCTAAAAAATCATATAAACCAAAATCCAACAAATTATCTTATGGAACAAATCATAAATCATATAAAAAGATTGACATGAACCAAAATTCCAAAAAAACTCTCAACCTAAGGAAATTTGCGATAGGTCATGGTGCAACATGAGGCAATTCGTGGTTGGTTCATCGTGAAACCGAAAATCAATTTCGAATCACTTCTATTTATTTTCTTCTTAATTTATGGAGTGAAATTTATCTCGTTGGAGTTGTTACTTATAATTCGGGCGTACCGCCGACGATTATGACTCCAGAATATTGACGAATTTGATGATGCGGAATTGAAATAGAACACAGAACAACGAATTTTACGTGGTATCCTCGATCGATCGATTGATTGAGACTAATCCACGGTGAGCTCGGAAGAGCTCACGACTGAATTTTTATTATTTGAGGACTACATCTTGACGGCTTGCTTACGACAATCTCGTAGCTAAGCTTATATAGAGAGACTTAGGGTTAAAACCCTAATGACAACCAGGTTTCCTTCTTTGACAAGGACAAGGAAACAAGGGACTTGGAAGACAAGGAATTAATTATTTTTAACTAAATAATTAATATCCTCAACACTCCCCCTCAAGCGAAGACATGAGTGACAAGAATGTCGAGCTTGAAAAAGGAAATGGGACGAACAAGCATGACAAGCTTGAACAACATAACTCGAGATGAATAACATCTCGGACAAGGTTGATTTGGAGACGACTGACTCTCTCCCTTGAACAACCTGATGAAGATGGTTGACTGCATCTTCTTGAACGTCGCGACGGAGACGGTTGATTGCGTCTCTTGAACGACCTGACGAAGATGGTTGACTGCGTCTCTTGAATGACTTGACGGAGACGATTGACTACGTCTATCCGTATGATATGGTGAAGACGGTTGACTGCGCCTCTACCTGGATGAGATTGAACGAGAGGCTGTTGACTGCGCCTCTCTTGAATGAGACCAATCGAGAGACTTTTGACTATCATCTCTCTTGAACGAGACTGGGGAACCTCCTTGACTGATACACCGTGGTTGCTATGCTGAACTGATTGACCACGTAAGATGATGCTCTATTCTCCCCCTCAAGCTGAGCATGAACATAGTGAATGCCAGCTTGAAAGTTAGAATGACGAAGGTAGAAAATTGACCAATTCTGAATGTCGAGGGAACGATCGCTACTTGTATCGTGACTGCCTCGCTCCACGACTTGAGGAAACTTTGTTGTAAAAAGTTTTCTTTCTCTCCAACACCGAGTACTTGCAAGGATGGATCGTGATTGTCTCCTTGACATGACCTTGACTGATGTTGGTGAAAAATTGCTTGCTACGTGACTTTGACAAAGACAACCCCAACTTTGACGATTGATGACGGTTGAAACAAAGCAACCAAACTCCACCACGAACTGATTTTCAACAATGTCCATGTACTTCCTTTGACCGAACAAACTCCTACCAGCCGTTCTCCCAAGCTGAATTAACCAAACAACACATGAATTGATCTAATTCAATGAAAAGAACAAAAGTTCTGCATCCTTGTCCACAAAACAACAACCAAAGTGGAGCACTGAATTGAGAAGCAAACAGCTTCGTGTACTTTTGGGCGGGACAAGGTGAAGGGGAATAATAGAGCTTGTTGTCATTAGGAACGGAAGGCTAGAGGGTTCTAGGGGATGGAAGGGCCCAAAAACGAACTCACTGATACCAATGGGGAGAAGACTCGCCGCAACGATTGGAAGATCGAATTGGAGTCCAAGACGTGGATATGTGACGTCGCGGCCTGATACCCCACTTGATGCTGGGTCGGAGAGAGTACGCTGACCTTGATGAAGACAATCCCACCGCAACGACCGGGTTTCTCGACAAAACACAAACATAAACTTTGACCTTGTATATAGCCTAGCGTGGCCGTTGACTAGACGAGGGTTTGAAACCCTTATGTGCGACCACGGCCAGACATGGACGTGCACAACGGCGGCGGCATACTGGCGACGATGACGTTGCAATGGCGATGCACGGATAGTGGGAATCTTCCCTCCAGTTCTCAAGCTTGACTCTTCTTCGGACTTGAGGAAGTAGCTCAAAACTTAGGAGCATTGTTGACGCCGACTTGAATCCAAAACAAACCTTCTCGCAGCCGTTCCTTTTAGCATCCTCGTCGTCCGACGACTGGCGATGATGACGACCAGCTGTGACAAGGACGGCGATAGATAACAAGAGCACAACCGATGATGACGGACGCCGAATTTGATACGGATCCGGAGTAGAAGGCCGGAGTGGACATCGACTCTTCTTTCAACGGCAAATGTGACTATCAAGGTGACATCGGGATGATGTTGGAGAGACGTCAACATTGAGTTGATTGCCGGCGGTGGCTACTGTGAAGGTAGCTTTTGAAATTGACTGAGGACGGCAATTGACGATTGATGACATTAGGGACGGCAGATCCCATCGACCTTAGTGCGAACTCGTCGGACATGACGGGGACAACGCACTGAAGAACCAAAACGAGGGCGGAAGCGCAAACCCTAACAATGGACCGAGGTTAGCTCTGATACATTTGATGATGCGAAATTGAAATAGAACACAGAACAACGAATTTTACGTGGTATCCTCGATCGATTGATTGATCGAGACTAATCCACGGTGAGCTCGGAAGAGCTCACGGCTGACTTTTTATTATTTGAAGACTACATCTTGACGGCTTGCTTACGACAATCTCGTAGCTAAGCTTATATAGAGAGACTTAGGGTTAAAACCCTAATGACAGGTTTCCTTCTTTGACAAGGACAGGGAAACAAGGGACTTGGAAGACAAGGAATTAATTATTTTTGACTAAATAATTAATATCCTCAACACTTCTTGAATAGTGTTTTCTCTTTACTTATTATATTCAAAATTGGTGTTTGTTGATTAGGGGGGGGGGGGGGGTTTGATGAATGTTTTTTTTTTGGGCTAAGAGAAACCCAGAAGCATCTTTTTGAAGAATGCGGGTGGGTTCGTCGAGTATGGCGACCTAGTTCTCTTTGTTCGAGAAAGGGGAAGATCTTACCAGTGAGGAATGGATGTCAGAACTGTAGGTGACGACTTCATAGGAGCTCCTTAGCAAATTTCTTGTGGCTCTCTAGTTTATCTGGGAAGAAAGAAATAGTCAGTTATGAAACAAGAAAAAACTTGAAGAATTTGAAATTAGGACAAAAACTGAGAGATGACTTGAGGAATACTAGGAGTAACATCAATGCATAGAAGGAGGTCAGGAGAAGAGGGAATATCGTTGACATCCCCCTTTCTCTGTGGATTTTAAGGTCAACATTGATTTTGCATTTCTCGAAGGGGAGGGTTCTGGTTTTGGGATGGTGATAAGAAATCGAGAAGGACAGTTATGTCTGGCGGTTGTGAAGAGGAGTCAGGTCCAATGGACACCGGAAATGGCGGAATGCTTAGCAATTAGATGTGGAATTGATCTAGCAGTGGAGCATGACCTTGGACAGTGCGAAGTTGAGACAAATTGCTTGAGTGCTGCCCAGAAATTACGAAGAGAGGAAAAGGCGATGACTGAAGAAGGTGTCCTATGCGAGGAACTGTGGGACCATTCGAGCCATCTAGGCTCGGTCCAAGTGAGCTTTTCGGGCCGAAATAGTAATAAAGCAGCTCACTTAATGACCCATACCGCATGTAGTTGGAACGAAATGAAGTGTGAGTTTCAAGACCACCAATTTTTCTTGTTTCTCAGCGTTTAGCCGATTTCTGTAATATTTCTACGTCATGATGAAAAAATACAGAATTTTCTATAAAAAAAATCAAAAGTTAAAATTGTAATTTTGATATTTTTGGGGTAATTTCAAGAGCAACCTTTATAACTCTCGCTAATGAGACGGCATCGCAGCCGAGCGTAGTTCTCCCAATTTTGATTAATCTAGGGTTCCTTCTCTGTTCTCCTCTCGTTTTCGCAGGGGCATTGTAATTCCCGGCGATGGATACGGCTCCGCACGATCGCAGCTCGGAGTCCGGGTACGTAGAGGAAGAAGGGAAATCTGAACCGCTTCCTACTCGCTCTGGGTCATCCCCCGACGAATCTCAACTTGGGTCTGATTCGAAGAGGCAGAAGTTCGAAGAATCCGACGACGCCCTGAAGAAAATCTATGATACCACTGACGATGAGAGTGTAGAAGCAGAAGAAGAAGAAGACGACGACGATAGCAGCGATGATAGTTATAGTGATCCTGCGATCTACCCGCAAGATGAGGAAGGCAAGAAGCAGCTTAAGATCTACTTTCAGTCAATCGTGGACAGTGAGGTGAGGGAATTATTATCTCTATAGGGTTTCTGCTTCATTGTTCGCCTTATTGAGCGCTGCGTTGTTCCATTTTTTGTTCGTTCAGGGCTACGATGTTGCAGAGTGTCCTCTCAAAATGGTTGGCCCCGACCATGGCTATCTACGCGTCCACCTTGACGACCATGAGGATTATCACGCGAGTTATGTAGTTACTTGTGTGAATCATGTGATTCGTGAACAGAACAAAAAAGGCGCTGAGGTAATAATAGTTTAGGTCTTTCCTTCCCGAACCCCATTTTAGGATGAGTAGAGCAGCTTCATGTGTGATTCCTGTTCACACATGAATTTTGGTGCCATAAACAGATGACATTGCGGAAGATTGAGAACGCTACTTCGATGAAGGTAAATGGCTACAACTATTACATCACCTTCTCTGCCGAGACTGGACCAAAGAAGGAAAACAAGGTGTACCAAGCTCAGGTGTACTGCAGTTTTCTGGGGGAAGTGATTAAGATAACGAATTTCAGGGAGAAACAGCAACCCAAATCTTCAGGAACCCGAGTAAAGTTCCAGCAGATATACTTTGATTTCTATCTCTGTGTTTAATGTTTCCAGTCAGCCTGCTTCGATCTAAAATATGCTTTGCAATGTCATTTTGTTTATATACAGGTGCGAGTACTACTGTATCGAACTGAGGCAGAGGCAATGCAAGGCTTCTTCGCTGGTTTAGGCGAGGAAGGTTTCTAACAAGATATGGTAGTATTTGCAAGTGTTAGAAGAAGATGGTGAGTTCACTGTATGACCATCTGTAGGTTAACCAACTGTTCACCGGTTGTTCCTGTCAGTGGATGTTTTTTCAGTTATGGGTAAATTTATGGTATGTTATTTTTATTTAGAGTCAAGCTTTGGGCTGAGAACTGAATGTGGCAATTTATGGACCTGTCCTTCTATTTAGGTTGTCAAGCTTTGGATTGAGATGTGGGTTGTGAGAATTTATATGCACCTGATGCTTTTCCTGGTTCTAATGAACATTGTCAGCTTTCAAGGTGAAGTGTAAACATATATTTTAGTCAGATACCATAGCAATATGGCATTTTCACGCTGCAAAAGGATCTGATGCCTTAAAGGCTAACGTGAAGTGTAAACATATATTTTAGTGCGTCAATGGCTGAATTGTTGGGAATCCTTCATGGTTTAGAAGTTTCTAGAAGATTTGGTTGCAGAACTCTAATAGAGGAGTCCAATTCCTTGCTCGCAATTCAATTGATCAAGCAAAGAACGAATTTGGTTCATCTGTATATGCTGCTCTTATCTTTGCGGTTAGTCAAAGATTAGCACAATATTATTTAGTGAACATCACTCATGTATGCTGCAAAAAAAATAGAGTCGCAAACTGGCTTCGAGTTATAGCTCTTTTTAAAAAAATGGTATTGTTATCATCCTGTAAGTTCACTGCTTTACAATATTTAGTTAATCGACCGAGTTTGTATCTATACCTTACCTGCTATCTCACTGCAGTCCCGCACCCTTCTGTTGTAATGTTATATTGTGATGTCTCCTAGTTCTTATTGGTATGGGAGCGGGAATGGTTTAAGGTTTTGTCCATCTTTTAACCATTGTGTTTGTTCCCAGTGGAGTTGGACATTTGTAAAGTTGAGATCATAACTTGGAAGGATGTTGTTTGTGTGTTTATGGGTGGACATACATTGCCTTATTTATGTTCAATGTTGAAGTTGGAGGAAACCAATAGTCTACCGCAAGTTAGTGTTGTGAAGGGACACAAATCAAATTCAGACATCAGTTCTCTCTGCTCTGCAGTCTTCTTTGTGACTCCAGTGAGCATACCTTGCTTGGCCAGTTGGCCTATAGTTTTATTCTCTTGGATACTTCTAAAGTTTGTTTTTGCTTACTTCTGGTATTTGCTACTTGTTACTGCAGTAGTGTCTATAAATCTGAGTGTTATCTTTTTGTTACTGACAAGAACCAATTCCATTGCTTGGAACCCCATTGAGCCACTCAACTTCACAGCAGCAAGCGCATTGATATTGTTAAAATCTTGCTGGTGATTTGATAATTTTGCTGCCAGTGTTAAAACATGGATATACATGGGATAGCCGACTATTGTTGATTGTGTTGCAAATGTCCAAATATAAAACTAGTTTACTATATAATTTTTCATTTTTGCAGGCGAATGAGGATTGCAGCTGTGAATATACACGCGTCCTGCTGCTCGCAGTTGCTTCCAAGGGAACAGAAAAAGCATGAATACCAGGAAGCTGTCAAGAATCGTTACAAGCATCTTCCCCAAGTCAAAAGAATAGTGAATTAAGGGTATTGTTTGAGGTCGCCTTTGAAATTGATTAATGATGAGCCTTTGTTCCTGTGCTGCAACTTAATTTGGCGATGTGGTGATGTATGATTGTGCAGACATAGGCATGTGCCAAAACCAATATAAAAGGCGAAGGAGTTGTGCCGCATGTTGATTGAATCTGAGAATAGGGAAAGAGGGAAGAAGAAAGCTCACAGCACCCAAGAAGCATCGTTACCAAATCAGTGTGTAGGAGGATCATTAGAGAAGTCAAGTAGTTTGTTCGCTCTTCAACGACGGGATATGGATACTTCGTATCAACCATTCTCGTAGGACTTTTGATCAAAGAAAGCCAGCACCATAAACAGTGTTTTGGTGCTTCGTATTCGTGTTGATGCTTCGTAGCTGGCTTCCGTAGATACAGACGTGTTGACTGGCCAAATAACAGTGTTCTTTAGGCACATCTCTCCACTACTGGTAATTATGAGACCAACATTTTTGGAAGATGGACAGAGACATATATTCAAGAATTCTAGTATTTATATTACCAGAACAACTTTTTTGCAGAGCCATTGCCATCCTTCCGTTTCCAATAGCGTATAGACGAATAGAGTGCCATGGGGGATTGATGCTCAAGTACAATGGCAACGGTATAATAACGCACCGCCTGCACCCCAATTATACGGACTAAACCGTGAACTCGGCCTGAAATCCCCTCTTTTCCTGGTCTTTGCTTATTTTCTTCAAATTTTGGACTCTGGGACTGGTTTCACCTGTTAGATCTTGAAACATGCTAAAACACAAGAAATCTAATGTAAAATCACCATTTTAGGAGCACACATGTCACAAACGCCCAAGAAAAATGGGGATAAAATGCGTACAATTAGGCCCGAATCAGTGTTGCTTGTCTTGAGGCCAAACTGGCTTAACAGTCGTTTAGTTTGAGCTCTACTGTTCATTCGGACCCGTTCGATTTGGTTCACACGGATTAGTGGGGTCCGTCTCCTGTGGCATCTCGAGTTGGTTTATGGTATTTTGCACTGTTTGTTGATCATGCTTCTAGGTATGCATGGGTTTACTTTCTTCGTCTCAAGTCTGATTTGCTTGCCGCGGCGAAGGAATTTTTGGCTATGGTCAAAACTCAATTTGGTCGTGTTGTGAAGGTTCTTCCATCAGACCTCGGCGGCGAGTTCACTTTTGGTCCCTTGTAGGATGTGTTCAAGGAATATGGGATTTTACCTCAACAGTTTTGTCCTGGCGTTTCTTAGCAAAATGGACTAGTTGAGCGTAAACATCGCTATGTTCTTGAATTTACCCGTGATCTTCTATTTTAGTCATCGGTTCTGTCTGGTTTCTGGGTCGAGGCCATTCATACAGTGGTCTACTTGATTAATCGTCAACTCACTCCAGTTCTTGCTCAACGTAGTCCATACGAGGTGTTTTATGGGAAATGACCAGATTATACCTGACTACGAGTGTTTGGTTGTGTTTGTTATGTTCTCTTACCTCGTAGTGAGTGCCATAAGCTTGCACCCATAGCACTCAAGTGTGTTTTTGTGGGCTATAGTGATAAGCACAAGGGCTACGTATGCTATGATGTTTCAAACCGACGTATTCGTATCATTTGTCATGTCGCGTTTTTGGAGCATCTCTCTTTCTATGGGGTTGTTGGGTCGGATTCACGTCCAGACTTGGAGTTTCTCAACTCCTTGCCTTCCTTTCCTGCTGCTTCATGCTCTTGAGGCTACTCACACATGGTATGTGGTTCCTCGTCCTCTTGATGCTCATGTAATTGGCTCGAAGTGGGTTTATAATGTTAAGATGCACCTGGACGGTTCTCTTGAACGTTTTAAAGCCCGGGTGGTGGCACAGGGGTTTAAGCAGAAGTTCGGTATTGACTATGAGGAATTTTTTGCGCCGATGGCCAAGAAAAAAACCGTTCGTACATTGTTCGCTGTGGTTGCCACGAGAGGGTGGATTTTGCAGCAACTTGATGTGAAAAATGTGTTTCTTCATGGGGATAAAAAGAAAACGATTTATATGGAGTGCCTGCCTGGTTACTTGGCTGGGGACAAGTCGAAGGTTTGTTTACTTCGTCGGTCTCTGTATGGCTTGAAACAAGCACCTCGAGCTTGGTTCGAGAAGTTCCATGATACGATTTTGTCGACAGGATTTCATCCTAGTGACAATGATCCCTCCTTGTTCCTTCGATGGTTTGCTCTTGGTCTTACGGTCTTGCTTATCTATGTGGATGATATGGTGGTGAGTGGTGATGACGTTGCAAGAATTAAGTCTCTTATTCACACTCTTCGCACTACGTTTAATTTGAAGGAGCTAGGTGATGTTTCTTATTTCTTGGGCCTGGAAGTCCATAGTTCCGCAACTGGTTTGCTTCTTAGTCAACAAAAGTATATTTATGATCTTCTGGAAACTGCTCATAAGTACTCCTGTGACTCAGTTGCGACACCAATGGAACAAAATTTGAAACTGCGCCAAAATGATGGTGATCTACTGTCTGATAGATCTATTTATCGCTGTTTGGTTGGTAGTCTGATTTATCTCACTCATACTCGCCCAAATATCTCTTATGCGGTGCAAGTTGTCAGTAAGTTTATGTCGGCTCCTTGGTCTACTCATCTAGTTGCTGTCAATCGGATTCTGCGCTATTTACGTGGTACTTCTGATGTTGGGATGTTTTTTCCTGCGAATGGGGATCCGGTGATTGAGTCGTATGCTGATGTCAACTATGCCGGGTGTTTAGACAATCGGCGTTCTACGTCTGGATGGTGTGTGGAGCTTGGATCTTCCTTTGTGTCCTGGCGCTGCAAAAAACAGGAACGAGTCTCTAAATCTTCTACAGAGGCTGAGTATCAGTCGATGTCGGATGTTACCTCTGAGCTGGTTTGGATTCGACGGTTGGTAGATGAACTTGATATGCCTTGTGTTCTTCCTATGCGTTTATATGCTGATAATACAAGTGCTATTCGTATTGCCACTAATTTGGTTCTTCATGATAGGACCAAGCATATTGAGGTTCATGTTCACTATATCTGTCAGTTGTTCGTTGAAGGGAAGATTGAGTTATCCTACATTACGTCCGAGGATCAAACGGATGACTTACTCACGAAGGCTGTTGCTTCCTCTCGACATTGGTTTTTGGCGTACAAATTGATGTTGCGTAAACATCATCAATTTGAGGGAGGGTGTTAGAAGTATGGGGAGTCAATTATAATTTACCTATTAATCCATGTTTGTGTAGGATATTGTGAGTTAGGGTTTAGGGTCGACTAGCTTTAAATAGACGAGGCTGACCATTCTTGTAACCTAAGGGATTCTCGGTGGAATACAATTGACTCTCAGAGGTTGCTCCTCTCTCTGGATTAGTCTCAACGATACACGTTGAGGATACCACGTAAATATGCGCGGTCATGCACTACAAAAAAGACTGGCAGATGTTACCAGACAATTGGCGTCACAAAAGGCCTTTTCTCGTCACAATAGGGTTATTTTGACGAAATACGGTCGTTGGTGGGTCGTGGGGTAAAGGTCCCTCGCTAATAGTTTAAATGTATTTGCGTCAGAAAATCATATATTTGTGACAATTATTTTTTATCATTATGCAAAATATCGTGATCAGTAAAGAAATGTACTTAACGAAATTGCTTGACCAAATATATTTTTAAGGGATAAAATAATTTTTGTGAGGAGTACATTTTGTTAGATAAACTATAATTGAGGAAACTATGTTTGTTAGTAAATAAAAAATTCGTTACTAAAAAATTGACATTTTTTTCCGAAAATGCCCTTTGATTGTTTTGACCACAGTTGTTTGTCGTAAAAGAACATTTTTTGCGAGGGTTAATTATGTGCCTAAATTACCCCTGTGGTGTTATAATGAATATCTTGCGTCACTAAAAACTATTCATAATAATAGTAAATTTAGTTTCCAATGAGCAAATAAGGTCACTAAAAGAACATTTTTTGCGAGGGTTAATTATGTTCCTAAATTACCCCTGTGGTGTTTATAATGAATATCTTGCGTCACTAAAAACTATTCATAATAATCGTAAATTTAATTTCCAACGAGAAAATAAGGTCAGAAGAAAATATCGAATATTTGTGATGCAAAAGTTTCGTAGGAAGAAACTAATTAATTAAGACCAACTTTTGTGTTCATGTAACAAGATTATTGCGTTAAAAATAAGATATTTGTCACACAAAATATACGTCGGCATAAACATATTAAATCTAACCAAATTGTTGTGTTAAAAAAGAATATTTTTAACATTAAATATTCGTCGAAAGAAACAATTAAAGCTAACCAAATTGTTGTGTTAAAAAAAAATATATGTAACCCAAATTATTCATCAGAAATGACTTACTAAAGCTAACCATTTTGTTACATTACAAATAGAATACTTGCAACACAAAATATTTGTGGGAAGCAACTCGCCAATTGTAACCAAATTTAGTGTTACTGTAACCAAATTACATCGTTGGAACTACAATTTTTTTCCCGATTTTGTAAATATATTTACTATATATTATTAGTGATGATAACTGAGAAATAATAATAATAAATTTTATTTTGCAGGTAATTTATTAAAAGCATAAAAGACATTAACCACTTCAATATATTAGCAAAAATTGAAAATTCTCCATAAAATTAGGTGGCCTAACCACCAAAACTGTCTTAAAAGGAGACCACATTCAACACTTATTCAAACATAAAACAAAACAACCAAACACTTGTTCAAACATAAAACAAAAACAACCAACCACTTAACAAAACAAAACATAAACATAAACATAATCCGATTGAAAAATGGAACTTGCAAAGTTCCTAAGACTGCCTTCTTCCTAGCTGCTAGCTGCAAACTTCCGATTGAAAATTGGAACTTTCAAAGTTCCTACTGCTGCTTTCTTCCAAGCGCTGCAAACTTAGTAGTCATCATCATCAGGGGGAGCTGTTCTCATGGTCAAAACCATCCGCATCTTCATCATTCACTTCCTCGTCTCCATCTTCATCTTCATCATTCACCTCCTTGTCTCCAGCCTAATTTACAAAGTTAAATAGATTATGATAAGGTTCATACGATTAATCATGCTCAACCAACTAAAAAAACAGCAACTACTTACCATTGAGGACTCTGCCAAATTAACTCCTAGCCTCTTCAATGTATCCTCGACAATCTGAGGAATTCCATTCTTCACCTGCACTAGCTCTTCTTTCAGCATTCTGATCATCTCATCATTCTTCACCTTCTCTTGCCTTCGGTCTTCTTCACACCTTTTGCTGCAGCCCTGACCGGAGCTAGGGCCAAAAACATCCACACCGGTTACCCCATAACCCATTCCCAACACACGTTTCCTAGGCTGTTTTCCTACAACCTCACCATAAATCGCAAACTGGTTCACCTCTTCCCCTTGACTCAACTTCTCAGCTTCCTTATTCTTCAATTCAGCCTACACATATAGTAATTAATAACTAATACGCTGAGTTTAAATGATTTAAAAAAAGAAGAAGAAAGCTAAAATTACTTAACATGCAATGCACTTACATGTATGGTCTGAGCTTTTGGGGTGGTGAATTCACCATTGCCCTTCTTCACATGGAACTTCTTGAATGTCTCTATAGGATCTGGTTCTTTTCCCGTCTTCTTGATCTGCAAACACAAGAATAACGCAACAACAATGAGCTCACACTTCTGGACCTTTGCTTCGTTCTTATTAAATACAAGAGAACACATTGGGGTACCTGATCAAGCCTAAACTTCGCCATGGGAACAGATCCGCCAGTAGCAGTGAGCTCAGACTTCTCACGATTGGCTTTGTTCTTATCA